GAGCGGGCCTAGGAGATCCGGGCGGTCCAGATCGCTAGCAGTCCGTGAGGCGGTTCTGTCAGCTTCTCGCTATCGATGGTGTGAGTGAGAGCCAGTCGATTCCGATTGACATTGCTCTGAATGATCTTCGTCTTCTCCTACTTGATCTGTAGCTTGTTGATCCTGTTCGAATCTTTCACCATGTCAGATCTCCTAAAGAGCTGAGCCTACTGTGAGGTTCCAATGAGCTTTTTATTGTGAAGCATCAGTTGACATGCAGTTTGGGATGTCGGAGTTGGTGGAAAGAGTCAATCTGTCGAGACGGGGGTGTCCTTTAATACCCTCGGTGCCGGGGGAGGGGGGCGGAGGACCGGGTATCATCTCGACCGGAAACCGAAGAACTTCATTATTTTCTGCCGATGACGTCACTCAACAGACAGCGAGTCGCGACTGTCATATGTACACAGCAAACCAGTGGCCAAGAACCAACCAAAACAAAAACAAGATGTCCAACAACAGATTATCACCCACCGCACTCAGACTGATCGAGAAGCAACACGAACTCGAGGCCCTGGTCCAACTCAACCAACTCTCTCATGGGATGTCCGTCCAACTAGAACAACTCAGTAACCAGTTCGCGCAGGGGGCTGATGGCGCATTGAGCAAGTCGATCGATTCAACCAATCTCTCATTCTTCTTGAAATTGTCGATATGCTGATATCTTCTCTTTTTTTTCTCTTGTTGATCGATCGAATCGAATCAGTCACCGAATCCGTCATCCAACGCTGGCAAAACGTCTTCCGAGCAGCCCATCTAGCAATCGGTAAGCAGGAACTGGCGGGTGCTCTTTACAGCTCCTGTGTCATCCCTCCTCATTCAGAGGAACTTTTTTTTTTTCGAACACTGACCATTATCATCTTATTCTTGGTCTTCCCCTTAGCTACTCGGGCTAATGCCATCAATAACGCCGCGCAGAATCCAGTGGACATGCTCGTCCGAATCCCCGTCGGATCGGCCCAAGAAGACGATTCTGCATAGTCCAACCCCCTCTCCAAAAAAGATCCTGTTATTTAAGACCCTCCAATATTATTTGTCATTTTCTAGTTGAGTGCTTTGTTCCCTGGCTCTTTTTCATTTTTTTTTATTTCTAGAATAACTTACACATCAAAGAATGCAACAAGAGCTAAGGAGAATAAGCTGATTCTTCACGGCTCGATGAAGTCCTTTTTTTAATGAGCACAAGAAGCCTTTGTCATTTGTACTGCAAGACGACATATGTATGGATTATTGAAATATAAACCGGTTGGCGTCTCATTTTCGAGAGATTGAGCATGTTGATATTCTGATATGCGAAACGGCTCTTTTCATTCAAATGAGCCCCACAATTCCTAAAGAAATGTACAATATAATCTGACTAGCTCATGAGCCTTTGTTGCTCGATGCATTCTTCAGCTGTTGACTATGAATGACGACGAAAACATCTGATCTCTCGAGACACTGAATCCTCGGATCGGGTTCCCTGACTGGTGTTCACGTTAGCAATCTCAAGCCAGGCTCGGTAACAGCGTCTCAGCAATCCTCTCTCCCTCAATACTCTAGCCAAATGTCTGAGATCAAAAATAATAATTTAGAAAGCAAAAAAAGAAAAATACAACTTGGTATAACAAAAAAAGCAGGGCAGGAATTTTGTTTTTTCTATGTTTTTTTATGCTTTTGTTTTTAGTGAAGCTACACAACAAAGGTTTAGATGAATCAGATGAAAGCCAAACAACAAAAAGTGACAAAAGGTAAAGAGGTGGTTCCAGACTGATTGGAAACTCTATGGAAGATACATTGAAGTAAAAGTAGAAAAATGAAGAAGAAGGGGGGGATCGATTCGATCGAGTCCCATTTGAAAGGAGATTACCGAAGCAGCCCCGATCAGGCTGATGAAGGGGCAGTCGACTGAGGGGGCGAGGGAGCGACGTGCATCATGCTGAAGATCGATCTCAAGGCGGGGTTGTCACCTAAGCGGGCGACCTCCTTATCGGCCTGCGCCTCGAGGATGCCCAAGACCAACCGGGTATACGCGAACGACTTGGTCTTCTCCTTCATGTAGCTCACCGCATAGGACTTGATCCCGTCGTCCGTCGGGCGCTGTCGTAGCACATCTGTCGTAAATTGGTCGTCGATTGTTCATTCGGATATTATTAGTAATTATATAGGCGAGATGGAATGATCAGGAGGTCACTCAACTGAGAAGTTGATGGTTCGATGGGTCCGCTCTGATAGCATGAACGATCGGAAAACTGAACTTGCCCTCGGTCAAGTCTTCACAAAAGCCTTTGTTGACGGTATACTAAAATTCATTGGATCGGTTTTTTTTATTATTATTTTATTTTAAGAATATCAGTACACATCAGATGTCATTTTTTTTTCTTGAAGATAGGAGGAGATACTGACGTCGGATGAAAGGTTCAATAGATCGTCTCTGATTTGGAAGATGATCCCGATCAAATCGACGAGGGGGACGTAATCTCTGTAGAAACGAAGAAGAAGAGAACAAAGTTAGATAGTCGGTTCAATCGTCTTAAAAATGGTTGATGAGTAGTTGGTAGGGCAGTACGAGTGACCAGGGCGACTCACGGGATTTGTTGAAGTGGTGACATGGCCATCATGAGCTTGATTGCGATCCTGAACAGCCCACCGGTTTCTGAAAACGAGGTATATAAAAGATAGAATCAGCATTGAGAATATGAAGAAAACAGAGCATGATTGATCGATGGACGGAGAGAGATAGAGAGAGAGAGAAAGGCTTAACTGTTTTTGACCATTTGGATATATTCTTCCTCGGTAGGACAGGTCAATGAGTCTCGCCAATACAGATCCATGCCTTGCCCGCGATGCAGTCTCAGTAGCTCCTCTGCGAAAAATCATCCGGTCAGCGATCTTGACAGAACAGGTGTTTCAGGGTCGGGAACGGGACTTACCATTGATGAGCTTCCATAGGTTCGAGGCAGAGCTGTCTTGAGAGGGATGTAACATCGATAGCTCTTGATAAGCCAAAAAGTATACATAACTGGATGCGTATCACAGCCAAATGTTAGTGCCAATAATTATCTCGTCGCAGCTCTGGTGCGGGATTTCCATGATTTCTGGGGTTGGCTGGACAGATTGAGGTATTGGAGAGGGTTCACTCAACTTGGCCGAATTGATAGTCTGAGGGATGCCATAAATCTTATGGGCCACTGTTGAGAGGCCGTGCACATCATTCAAAAAGTGTTCAGCAAGGGAGGGGCCGGGAGGCAATACGCACCTGGGATCCCGCGACGCAATTCGGATCCATCCTCTACATCATCCATTCTGTATGAATAGGGACAAAAGAAGTCGATGGTCAGCATGTAGAGATATTACACACATGGCCGGATGAGAAATGAAGACTGACAGGAGACTGGCTGTATGAAGCAGGCCAACAATCCGCTTGACAATGTTGAGTTGCTCAGTGGGTACGGACAGCCAATGGTTGAAGGCATCAATCATCATCGAGCGAATCTCCTTGCCCGGAGTCGAGGTTAGATAAGTGAAAGGCTCTAACAAGATCTTAACCGATACACATCGTAGGATTTCAGCTTGTGTTGTAGATTTCGATGTGCTCTTTTATATATGGGGAGAAGGAGGATGGCCAGAGTGGAGGAATGAGAGATCGAAGGTAACGTACTCTCTCTTGTGGCTCCGACCAGTCTGGATTGTTCTGCTTCATCCTTTCAAAGAAGTTGCTGTAGCGCTCTTCAATCCCACCGATCTGAACTGAATCGACCTCCACATTATTGATTCCATTGGAGACAGCCATATGGGTGAGATGGGGAGGATGGGCTGGATGGGGGAACGATGAAGGGGAAAGCAGAGAGTCAAGAAGGATGTGACCGGATCGAAGCAATTGATAGGATGAGGGAGAGCTGGTTGTGTTGTTCAAGATTCTATAATAATGTAAATATATGGCGATGTCTGTATTTGTTGACCGCCCTGCTAATTCTATCCCACAAGACGCGGGAAATTAGGGAAAATCCGAAAGAGGAAAAAAGAAGCAAGCAGGCGATTGCTGGCGATTGACAAAGTCCACCGTTATCAAGACGCGTGGAGGTGGAGGGTAAATCCGAAAGAGGGAACAACTGGTTGGTCTGACTCTCGAGGTGAGCCGCCATATCGCCGAGCAAGGACCAGATTTCAACTTCTTGACTCGGCCATCGAAGCATCCTATGTAGCAGTGTTTGCTTCTTCTATCTGCAGCATGACTCAACTCATCGCTCTTGCGAAAGATTTCTTGCGCAGGAGACTTGTTGAACACTTTTATACTGTACTATGTTGTAAATATGTAACATTGTCTGAGTTCCTGGGGGAGAAAATTTGCCTTCGTCCAGCTGAATATGTTTTACAAACAAGGCTTTTTTGACTTTTAACCTTATCGATATCTGAGCTTACATAGTAATTACCAACCTTGATACATAGTGACTTGTGACTATCGGATATCATCACGGCGACTTTAAAGACTTCCGAATCCGATCCATTCAGATCGAGTCTGATCGAGTCGACCGGCCATCGTCGATGGCCATCGAGTCTACATAATCGCCAGTATCACTACATCGATTAACGACATAAGTGCAGCGGCAGGTGTGAATCAAGGAATCCGCTGACACAAACTTCATGCACTGCTTTTGATTGAAAAAAAAAAAAAGATGGATACAGTGCCCTAACCCTCTTTTGTGTAACACCGCGCCTGCAAAATTATTTTCGAACTTTGAGCTGTATGTTGGTTGGCTCAAATAGGGCTACATACCCTTACTATACATTTTTGGGCTCTACAGAAGCAGTAGAACCCAAAGATATAACCACAAGTCTGTAGGTGCAATAAAAAAAAAGTTTGGAATTTATTTTTTCTAGGACTTGGAACAGCCACCCAGGGAGGTCATAGTATTGACTTCTGGGGGCTATTATGGACTTACGTATTATGTAGTATGCTTTTAGGGGTGGAATTTACATAATATGTTAAAGAAAAAGGCAAAGAAAAACCAATACATAAGCTATCTGGCAATGATTTCTTAACAGATTTGGCGGCCCTTCTGACTCTCTGGGAACGAGTTGCTTTACTCACAACCATCTTTGGTGATTTAACTCCTCCTTGCATGAAATTTGTAAAACGTGAATTGGATTTCATCTAAATATGTATGTACTTTAGTAAAAAAATCCAATTTGAAAGTCAAGGAAGTCAAAGAAATGGTTGGAAGAAGCCAAAATTGCCAAAAAAAGAAGGAAAAAGAGAAAAAAATGGTAAAACACAAGAAAAAAAAATTGAAAAAAAGCTTCAAACATTTGGAACACCCCCAGGGGTGTAGCACAAAAGAGGGTTAGGGCACTGTAAAAGAAAGAGTAGGATCTACAGCAAGAAGTGCCTGAACATGTGGCTCTGGAGCTCACACAATTCAGGTCAGCAGTAATCAATGCAAACTCAACCCTGAAACAGATTCACAAGAATCTGCTCTAAATCATGAGGAGGACTTCCTTGGGTTGGTCTGAAATCCTTAATTTTTTGTGCACAAACACACCATTTTTTTGGCATGTTGAGGCTGCATGCCAGTTTGTCTTTGGAAAGTCCTAGTGGTCTGGGGGGCAGTTGACATGTGTTCCCCAGCCCGCAACCACATTTCACAGAAGTCACGGGTCAGCTCCAATTATGGACTGGCACTTTGTGTCCTCCACCACACTCCACAATCATCAAATATCATTGATTTCTAACAACCAACAATTGTCTCATTGTTAATGTTCAAAGTAGCAGCCAGTTTCAATCAGAGTAGCAAATTCTTTTTCTAGATGCAGTTTGTGATGGATTCAAATTATTGCTAAGTAGGTATGGAGGTGTGGTGATGGTGATTAGAAATGTCATGATAGGTGACTGGGGCAAAGCCATGTCACCATCTTCCATGGTCTCCAGCCAACTAGCCAGGCCCAGCTGGTCTGACACCCACAAGCCAAGTGGTCAGACCGCCTCAAGAGATCCGTTGAACAGATAAGATCCCTCAGTCTCCTTATCCCCTCACAAATCTCAGTGTCCTGCATCCTTGCCAGCTAGTTAAATGGTGCCTCCTCTTCATCACCTTCCCCACTCACTAGTTTTTGAGCATTTGACACAAGTTTATTTTATTGATCATAAAACTCCAGGATTTTTCAATCTACAAAAAATATCCAAGTTAAAAACGACTAAAGATGGCCTTGCGGTACCCGTTGGGCGGTACCCGGGACCCGTTGGCGGGTACCGCCTTCACTCCACCGGTAACCGCCAAGTGGTGCCGGGTGCGGTATAAAGCTCAAAAGTGTTTGTGAAAACCTTTTGCTGAGTGTGGAAAGGGATGAATGAGGATACCTCTGCCTTTCCTGGATCACTAGACACTAGACAAGCCCACCAATCTCAGATTGGAAGGTTTAATAAAGTGATAGTGGAGTGTATCAAAAGATAACTGTGGCTTAACAGGTGGACAAAGGGTTTAACCAAGTTTTATAAGGGTCTAAAAGGTTGATTTGAGAGTGAGAGAGTGAGTCTAGCTGATATTTTGATGGTAAGGGGATGGTATGTAATGGTATGTAAGGGTTTGTAAGGGTAGGGGGTATGAAATAGGTGGATACTAAACTGAGGGGAAAACAACTGAGAGGAGAGCCTCTTAAATACACAAAGGTGAGGGATTTTAGCTTCAGAGGAACAAGAGAATGAGAGATTTTAGCTGGCCAGAGCTTTACAATGAGGGGATTTAGCTAGTCAGAACATGTACATGAGGTATTTTGGCTGGTTGAGCAACCTACATGATGTCATAAGAGTTATTTTAGTTTGAACTAGAAGTCTACATGAGGGTTTTATGCTGGTGTAGCATTTTACATGAGGTGATGTACTAGTCTGCAAGCTAAGGTGAGGTGATGAGTATTACATGAGTGGTGTGGGATAGTCTGACAGCTGCAAGGAAGATTAACAAAATGACATGACAACCTGCATGATGCCACTTGTAAATCCAGAGTGGTACCAGACCAACACTGCATGTGTCAACTGTCAGAAGATAGTGGAGTGGTGTGTATACATGTACTATAATGGTGTGAGAGTGTATGTAGTTGTCCTGCAATGTACATGTGGATAGTGTGAGTTATGTAATTTGTTGGTGTTGTTGAGTGTTGAAGTGTTGCCATGGTGGTGAGTTGTGTAATTGAGTGTGGTGATGGTCCAGAGAGTGTAGCTTCCAATCCAGTTGAGTTCCAGTGACGCCTCCAGTGGTGACCAAGGGTGAAATTGACCATAGAATCCAGTTCTTGAGCCATATTGGGTGATTTGTGAGTGTATATATGAGAAAAAAGGTGTAAAAAGTATGTAATTTGTAATAAAAGAAAAAACTGTAAAAATTTTAAATGGGCCAGATGGCTACCCTTAAGGTATACCACATCCTCCCCCAACTTATTGTCTGTCCCCAGACAATTCCACCAAAAAAGTGGCTGAGTGGGTATTCATTGGGTTTGCATCATCCTGTGTAGAATCTGCATAAGGCTTTTCTTACTTCCACCCGGGGTTAGGGTGTTTTCAGTTTTCCTGGGTTTTGTAGGTTTTCTGAGTTGATAAAATTCAGGTTTGAACAGTTTAGTCTCATGCCCAGGAGGTAGCCTATTTTTATGAGTGTTTTTTTTTGTGATGTTTTTGTAAGTATAAGGAAAGAAAAAAGGGGAAAAGAGAATTGTTGAGCAATTTTTAACCAACTCCAACAAGGATTCTTGGGATGTGGAAGGAGGTATACAGTTGTCCAAAGCAGTCTGGTGGAATCTTCAGGAGTAGTTGCAAAATTATTTCTTTAAGTAATTGAAATCTGAAAAGTAAAATCTTGGGTGCTCTAAAATGAGAGAGACTGATGATTGAATCTTCAAGTTCAACCAATGAAGTGAGTTGAATTGCTTTTTCCAGTAGAGTTTTGACTGTTGTTGAATTATCTGATAGACCCAGTGCTGGCGGAATCACAAAGGTTTCTTCATTTTCCTCAGGTTCTGTAGTATTGTGTCCCAGATGTTGAGGAATTTTGTTGAAATTTTCAAATAATCTGTATGCATCCAAGTAAGGTTTGAAAAGTTGTTTGTTGAAGAGCTTGCGTTGGTGTGTGTTGATATTTCAAATCCAAAGTAATTCTGAGGCTTTAGGAAATTCCAAATCTTCTGCTAGATTTTCTGTAAGGAGGAGTTTCAAGTAATTTTTGTTGAGCTGGGTGGACTGATCCAATTCTTTGACTTGTTGAACAGATTTATCCAATATTTCTTCATGATCCACATAGTTTTCCGCATCCAGTCCATCTAGCACCATTCCTGGTATTTCAATTACTGTATGTGCAAGTTCCATTGGTGTGTCCATTACGTTTGCTGATGCCGCTTTCCATTCTTCCACCAGATCTGGTAGTTTGATTGTTGTAGCTGCTGTTTCCATTATTGGTTCCGTATAATCCGTCATCGGTTCCGTGTAATCCGTCATTGGTTCTGTGTAATCCGTCATTGGTTCCATGTAATCCGTCATTGGTTCCATGTAATCCGTCATCAGTTCCGTGTAATCCGTCATCGGTTCCGTATAATTGATTGTTGGGCCTACATAATCTGATTTTGGTTTGGTTTGGAAAAGCAGCTGTGGAGTTTTGCATTCAACAGGTAATTGTATCTCCAGGTGTTTTTGTTTGAGTGTTGGTTGATCTGACTTTTCCTTGCTAGTCTTATTCTTGACAAGATGACAGATTTTCTTGACCCATTTGAGCTTCCTTTGAACCAAGCTTGGTTTTACGGTGTTGTCCGAATCGTCTGAAAAGTGAGATTGAACCGTGTCTTGAGTTTGATACGCCTTGGTGTATGCAGTTCCAACTGGGTTGAGGTTCTTCATTTGATTCCAACCTTTTCCCTGTCCTATTTTTGCAATGGGGACAGTGGTACGTCGGCCACTATCGCCTTGAAAAGATAGTAGTTCCCCAGTTCCTGGATAATCCAAAGTGCAGTCGTAATCAAACAAAAAAGGTCGTCCAAGGATACAATCATGAGCTTGAGGTGAAACAAAGAGGTGAACTGGTCCAGTGAATCGTCCAATGCTGATGGCGCAATTTTC